CAGAATGTGGCACTGCTTCCGGTCACTAGGCAAATCTAGGCAAATACAATAACCATTTTTCTTGATCTTGCTCAACATTAATTCTAATAGGTAATGGTATAAGATCCAATTCTAGTATGTAATGGTAATGTCCAACTCAAAACATTTTTGTGAAGATTCAAAGTAAAAATATGATAATTTATAGTTTTAATACAATTTATGCCATGTTTCCCTGTTCAAATGTCTTCCATGAAATATATTCTGACTCTTTTTTCTGATAAAATTTACTATTCTTTTTGTGACTCCCTTCAAGATGCGTATACTTTTAAAAATATTATGTAAACTACTTTATTGCTTTTATTATCTTGCAAGTCTGTCTTGCACATCGGACTATGAACTCCCTTGAGGAAAGTGTATATTTTTAGTTGTATATACGCAATACCTATACCTATGATTGCATGGCACTTGGCAATAAATTTTGTAAGAAAAAAAAAAAACCCAAAAAACTGAAGGTAATGGTTAATGTTTTAAGGAGGAAAAAATGTCATGTTGATATCTTTACATAATCCATTTGTATTATAGATAATCTATAGTATCACACCCACTGCCATCAAGTCGATTCTGACTCATAGCAAACCTACTGAAAAAAAAAAAAAAAAAAACCCATTGCCGTGAAGTCGGATTCAACTCACAGCGACCCCTCCTTGGGTTAACCCCTCCTTGGGTTTCTGAGGCAGTTATCACTACGGAAGTAGACCGCCCAACCTTCCTTCCGAGAAGTGGCTGGTGGGTTTGAACCACCAGCCTCTGGTTAGTAGTCACATGCCTCAGGCACTACGCTACCAGAGCTCCCTATAGGACAGAGCAAAATTGCCCCATAAGGTTTCCAAGGTGATAAATCTTTACAGAAGCCTTCTCCATCAGTGCCACGCCCCCCCATGGCCAATGGATTCAAACCTCAGACCTGCTAACTTTCATCAGCAGCCAAGTGCTTTAACCACTGTGCTACCCCAAAAGCTCTTTAGATAATCAATAGTGTTTTTTCCCCCTAAAGAGAGTAAAAGCCATGCTATTTTATTTACCTAAGAGTAGTCCAGTCTGAGTATTAGAAATCTCATTTTATTTTTTTAAAATACACATAAGGGTATATAACATCTTTAACTTAATAGAGAATGTCTGCCACATGCTGTAATAGTAAAGAATCATCTATAATTATCTAATTGACTGACTACAAATGGACCTGATGTTCTTGAAAATAATGTCTTAAGTAAACATCACCCTTGAAATTTTATTTACAAATGATCAATTTGCTTAGTAACCTTTTTTCCATAGACACAAATCTAAGATTCAACAAAATCATAATTAGAGTACATAAACAATACCCACTAGAGATCTGAAAATAAACTAGGATTATGATATTCTTCCATGTATTTTCACACTGAAAAATACAATAACCATTTTTCTAATAAAATGCACAAAGAGCTCAAAGTGATGTGCAAAGACAAGTAATTCAGTAACATTATTTTACAGTGCAATCTAAGCAGATCTAAAATCAAATATATTTCTTATGGTGGCCTAGGAGCTCTGGTAGCCTAGTGCCTAAGGCACCTGACTGCTAACCAGAAGGCTGG